CTTTCCCCGGAAACGGCCCGAGTGTCCGACCCGCCGGTGCCCGCCTCCCCGGGACGTGCCGTGAAGCCCCTCCGCCCGGGACGGAGGCGGCGATGGGCCCCGCATGGTAAGGGGAGCGATTGCAGCGAAGTATCTGGAGAAACGGGAGGTTAAGAAACCAGCCCCCAAACGGATATACTTTTTCCTCTTTTTAAACCGAGGGAATGACTCCCCCCTAACTTTTTTTTGGGGGGGTCACATGGAGTTAATGTTCACATTCACCCGTGGGCATGAACTTACTCGGGTGGAAGGGTTTCCCACGTGGCAGCGAGTGAGGGAGTCGGGCGCAGAGGACGCCGTGCACGCGAAGCCCGGGCAGAAGGGCCGCTGGAGGAGCGACTGGACGTGACCGGGGTCAGCTGTTCCGTCCCCGGCGGGCAGCGGAGGGCCTTGTGGGAGGGAGCGAGGTGAGCCAGGCCAGCCCCCTGGTCCCGGCTGGTGAGAGCCCGGCCTCCTGATGTCCATCGAGGCCAGCGACGGCGAACCCTCTGAGCTCGGCGTGTCCGCATTTTGAAAAACCCTAACTTCACTCTGGTGCCGTGTCACACATAGAAATGTTTTGATCTCTGCAACCACAGTAACACAAAGATGTATATTTTTGATGTTTATTTTATATAGTTAAATGCCATTTCACAAAGAAAAATCAACCAAAAAAACGAGTTCGCGTGTCGCCTCTGACAGGCGTGTCATAGGTTCGCCATCACTGCTCTAGTCCTTCCCGGGGCCTCAGGCCCCTCAGGTAACGCGGGTGCCTCCACCGGTTGGAAGTGATAACCAGGGAACCCAGGGATGCCCTTGCTCGGAAGTCTTAGTTTTAAAGAGGCTTCTTGCTTAAAAAAAAAGTACATGTTTTTTATTGATTTCAGGCGAAAGGAGAGGGAGAGAGAGAAACATCAGTGATGAGAGAGAATCGTGGGTTGGCTGCCTCCTGCACGTCCCACACCGGGGATCGAACCCAAAACCCGGTCAGGGCAGGTCGCACTGTGACCTCCTGGTTTATGGGTCGCCCCTCACCCACAGCCACGCCGGCCGGTGAGGCTTCTCGCCTCCGTGTTAGTGGCTGTGTGTGTGGGTGGGTGGGGGAGGCAGCAGGCCACGTAGACACGGGGTGTCAGGTGCGTTTCTCGTTCGGAGGGGTTTGCTTTAGGTTGAAGTAGACAAACGTAGTCAGCGTTGACAGGGGATCAGATACACAGCCTGCTTCCTGGCCGGAGCCCGGTGGGTGGGGCTAAGTGAAGACTGCATTTTGAAATTTACGTTTCCTCAGCCAACATTTCCGCACTTTCACGTTTCTAATTTGACATCTTTCCTGACATCTGCGTTTCTCTCCTGCCTCCAGATTACAGGGCCTGATAATAAAGGAATATACAAAGGAGACCGGGAATCCAGTGGGAAATACACATTTGCTGCTCACATGGACGGAACATACAAGTTTTGCTTTAGCAACAGGATGTCCACCATGACCCCAAAGATAGTGATGTTCACCATTGATATCGGGGAGGCCCCCAAAGGACAAGACATGGAAACAGAAGGTGAGACGGGCCCTCGGGAGCGGGTGCCCCCTCCCAGGAGAGAATATTAATTCTGCTCACTTTTATCATCGAATGGAGTATTTATTTTGATTTCTTATTCTAGTTTCACCCACTGTCCATTTTCCTCCCAGCCCCCCTGCCTCTTGTGTCATCGTGTCTTTAAAGTCAGAAACCTTTTGTGAAACACACTTGTTTACCCAGACCTCCCAATTCACAGAAAGCCGTTTCCGAAGTTCGTGTTTCTGTTGTAGCTCTGTACAGCGGCCCGGCAGCAGCCTGCACTCTGTGCTGTGGGCGTGCCGTTACCTGGGTCTGCGGGTGCTTGTTCTTGAATTTGCCCATCCTGACCTTCCTCTTCGTTTGCTCATTTGTGAACATGAACAGTTTGGCTAAACATTTTGTTTTATTTTTTGTGTGTCCATATGTTAAATGTTCCTTTAGGTGGTGGAGATTCCTGGGATGGTAGGTGGATTGCTTTTGGACAGCAGCCTGCCTTTTGCACATGTTTGCTCGCTGTTCCCTAATTCTGCTTTCCTTCTTTCTAACCTCGGTTTGTTGGCATGAGTGTTTTTTGTCTTAATGAAACAACAACAACCCTACACCTAATTAGAGTGATTGTTTTTTGTGGGTTTTATTTGGTTGACAGGAGATACAGGTTAGGTCACTTTAAATTAATATCACTGGAAAATAGCCATGGACATTTTAGTGGCACTGTTTGTTTCTTTTAAGTGAATGTGAAGGGTGGACATATTCGACTATAATTGGACAAGTAAGTCTTAAACATAGTTAATAGCAAGCGGTCCTATTGACTTTGTCGGAAGTATTTTATAGCCTTGTTTTAATGATTATTAAAGCTTTCTAACTTGAAACTTGGTTGGATATGAAATACAGTTGTAAGAGCTATGTCTAGATTTTGTGACAAAAGTTCTATTCATTCCTCAGCTGACCCGCACTGAGCCCTAAATTGATTCTTCTGGATGAATTGTTTACCAGGAGCCAGCACATTAGCGCTGGGGGGAGGGGCTGTTAACACTGCAGGTGAGGGTTCTTGGAAAGGAGCAGGCCCCGCATTTTATACTATGGCCCTGATAACGTTTGTTGTAGGTACTGAGCAGACAGTAGAGTGATTATATCCTAAAGAAGTGGCTAGGTTTTGAAGTCTCTGAACTTAGAGACTCATACTACTTAGTAATTCCTGCACTTGCTTTTCAGGGCCATTTACAGGGTAGGATTTGGCTAATTTTCAAGAAGAATTGGGAGTTTGAAGGGCTTTGTGTTTGTTTGTTTTCTGGAAATTATTCCTTTCTAAGTAGTTAGAAGCCGTTGGCTGATGAATGTGAATATTGAATTAGTCTCTAAATAATCCTTAACACAATATTTAAAATTCTTGCTTTTGCTTGTTAATGGCAACGAATGGCAGCTGTCAAGCCTTCCTCTAACGCAGTGGTTCCCACTCAGGATGATTTTTGCCCCCAAGGGCCCCTTGGCGATATCAGGAGCCAGTTGGACTCACATGGCTGGTGGGTGCACTGGCAGCTGCTCACAGCAGAATTACCTGGTCCCCAGTGTCGCCAGTTCCGCCTCGAGGAACCCTGCGCTTCGGAGGGAACCGAGCGAGGGGTCTGAGTGGCAGCCCAGCACGGACAGTGGCGGGCCCTGGGCTTCCTCAGGACACGCAGGGTCCTCCGTGGCGCT